CACGGGGGTCAAAAAATATCTACTGAAAATTTGTAATTTTCCAAAAGTTCCTTAAAAATCCTGAAAAAATTCTATGAAACATATTTCGACGAGCTGATTCGTGTTGATGGTCCCGGATCAAGATTTTCCAAAAATTCTATTTGGAAATGAAATTTTTCCAATATCCTGAAAATTGACATTTTAGAAAAATTGTTGGAATTTTCGAAGAAATAAAGTCGAAAATAACTAATGTCTTTCGGTAATTTTCTAAGTCTGTCAAAAAATTTAAATTGAAAATTGAAAAATTGAGATTTTTGAAAGGTTGGCTAAAAACCTCAAAAAATTCTGGCAAATTCATTTCGACGAGCTAATTCAAAAAACATAACGTGTAGATGGTACCAGACCAAGATTTTTGAAAAATTTGGTTTGTAAATTATTTTTTTAATTTTCCGAAAATTATCATTTTTAATTTTTTCGATCCTAGAAAAATTGTTGGATTTTTCGAGAAAATGAGGCCGAAAACAACTTCTACGAGTTGGTATCTACAAGAAAATGCCTTTCGGTAATTCTCGAAGGGTGGTCGTAAAACTGAACAAGATTTTCGGAAAATTCGGTTTGAAATTTTTTATTTTTTAATATCTCGAAACTTCTCATTTATTATTTTATCGATCCTGGAAATATTGTTGCAATTTTCGAAGAAATGAACCAGAAAATAACTTCTACAGGTCGAAATCTACAAGTAAATGCATTTCGGTAATTTTCGAAAAAATTCATATTGGAAATTTCATATTTTTGAGAAGTTGCCTAAAACTTTTCAAATATAATATAACAAGTGGTCTGATTTTTTCCGACAAAATTTGTGACACAAATTAACGAGTAGCTGTTGCGACGAAAATCACACGAGTCGACGAAGGAGACGAGTGTGATTTTCCAAAAGCAACAGCTACGAGTTAATTTTCACACAAATTTTGCAGAAAAAATCAGATCACGAGTTATATTCGGCTTGACAATCCAAAGAGAAAATTTTTATTTACTTTTTACGGACAATAATTCACATAATTTATAGTTAGCGTATTCGTTGAGTAACCATACCTACTTAGTCTAAATAGTAACAAAACAGCAAAGCAAAACGTAAATAAATTTCTAAACATCAAATTTTGTGTGTGCTGCTGGTTGATTTTCTTAATTCTGGGAGCAAGATTTGGTAATAAGACTGTGTATGAAATTCGAAATGCAGTGAAAGAAAGTCAGTGCCGGAAGACCGCAAGAACGCAAGATTCAATTTGGAAGCAGTTTACAGAATTTTGTGAAATACGCAAGTTTCATCTAAATAAAGCAGTCGAAATGAACGAGGTGGCCAGTATTTTGGAAGATTATGCCTTTAACGCCAACAGAAAAGTAATTTGTATTATCGTTTTTTTTTTATTAAAGTTCATTTGACAAGTTTGACAAATTAATTTGACATAATTTATTTCGCTGAAAAACAGTGTTGTTGCCTGACAGAAGAATGTTTTTTCACTGAAAAAATTTTTCGGTGAATGCCATTGGACAAATTTCAAACAATTCTGCCATTGTATTGGTTAAAAAATTTCGAGTTGGATTGTCACAAAAAATTCTGAACAATACATTTCGATGAGCTTATTCCATAAACGTTACGTGTTGCTAATTCAGGCCCAAAATTTTCGAAAAATTTGGTGCATAAATGAATTTTTTCAATTTTTTTCCAAGGGTGCTCTGCGAAAGATGTTCGAAAAATTTAGTTTGAACTGAAATTTTTCAAATAGCTCGAAACTTCTATTTTTTATCTTGTCGATTCTGTAAAAGAATTTCATATTGAAAATTTGAGTTTTTTGAAATGAAGCTTTTTAAAAAGTTGCCTAAAAATTCTCAAAAAATTCTGAGAAATATATTTCGACGAGCTGATTAAAAAACATAATGTGTTGATGGTCCTGGACCAAGATTTTCCAAAAATTCGTTTTGAAAATGGAATTTTTCAAATATTTCGAAAATGAAATTTTTCAAATATTTCGAAAATTGCAATTTTTTGAAGCCTTCGAAAAGTTGACTAAAAATCCTCAAAAATTTTCAAGAAATTACATTTCGACGAGCTGATTCGAAAAATATACCATTTTGATGGCCAAGTTCCAAGATTTTCGGAAATTCAGTTTGTAAATGAATTTTTTTAAATATCTCGAAAATTGTCATTTTCATTTCATGGATTTTGGAAAAATTGTCGGAAATTTCGAAGAAATGAAGCTGATAACAACTTCTACAAGTTGAAATTTACAATAAAATGTCTGTCAGTGATTTTCGAAAAGTGCTCGAAAAAGTGTCGAAAAATTCATTTTGAAAATTTGAAACTTTCGAAAAGTAAGTTGTCCAAAAAAACCCCAAAAATTCTGCCGACTTTATTCGAAAGATGGAACGTGTTGATAGTCTCCCATCAAGAGTTTCTAAAAATTCTGGAAAAATTGTGTGAATTTTTGAATAAATAAAGCCGAAAATAAGTTCTACAAGTCGATTTTTACAAAAAGGACAAAAATGACCAAAAAATTCATTTTCAAAAATTTGAGATTTTTGAAAAGTTGACTAAAAATCTTCAAAAAATTCAAGTAAATACATTTCGACCAACTGATTCGAAAAAAATACCGTGTTGAAAGTACAGAGGCAATATTTTCGGAAAATTCGGTTTAAAAATGGAATTTATCAAATACATATGTATTTCGAAAATTGTCATTTTCCTATTTCATCGATTATGGAAAAAATTGTTCGAATTTTCGAACAAATGAAGGTGAAAATAAGTTCCACAGGTAACAATCCACAGAGAAACATTTTTCGGTAATTTTCGAAGGGTGATCGAAAAACGGTCAAAATTCATACTGAAAATTTGAGATCTTCTAAAAGTTGCCTAAAAATCCTCAAAAAAATCTGAAAAATGTATTTCGACGACCCGACTCGAAAATATAACGCCTTGATGTTTCGGGATCAAGATTTTTGAAAAAAATCAGTTTGAAAATGAAATTATTCAAATAATATCTCGAAAACTGACATTTTTATTTTAGCAATTTTGGAAAAATTGTTGGAATTTTCGAAAAAATGAAGCCGAAAATAACTTCTACGAGTCGAAATCTAAAAAAAATGTCTTTCGGTAATTTTCGAAGGATGCTCTAAAATCAATCAAAAAATTGAAAATTGGAAATTTGAGATTTTTGGAAACTTGCCTAAAAATCCTCAAAAAATTCTGGAAAGCACATTTCCACTAGTGATTCGTAAAACATAACGTGTCGATGGTCCTGGACCAAGAATTTCGAAAATTATTTTTTATTTTATCGATTCTGGAATATTCTGTGGAATTTTCGAAGAAATGAAGCCGAAAATAATTTTCACAAGTTCAAATATACAGGCAAACATTTTTCGGTATTTTTCACGGGGGTCAAAAAACGTACTGAAAATTTCAGATTTTCGAAAAGTTCCATAAAAATCCTGAAAAAATTCTATGCAATATATTTCGACGAGCTTATTCGTGTTGATGGTCCCGGATCAAGATTTTCCAAAAATTGGAAGTGACTTTTTTCCAATATCCTGAAAATTGACAATTTTTATTTTATTTTCGAAGAAATGAAACCGAAAACAACTTCTACGAGTCGTCTGCAAGAAAATGCCTTTGGGTAATTTTCAGTTAGTCAAAAAATTTAAATTGAAAATTGAAAAATTGAGGTTTTTGAAAAGTTGCCTAAAAACCTCAAAAAATTCTGGGAAGTAAGTACATTTCGATGAACTGGTTCGAAAAACAACATGTTTTTGATTCCGGACCAAGATTTTTGGAAAATTCGGTTTGAGAATGACAGTTTTTCAATATCTCGAAAATGGTCAATTCTTTTACCGATTCTAGAAAAATTGCTGAAAGTTTTGAAGACATGATGCCGGCAATGACTTCTATTAGTCGAAATCTATAAGAAAAGGTCTTCTAGTAATTTTCGAAGGTTGTTCGGCAAACGGTACAAAAATCCATACAGAAAATTTAAGATTTTTGTAAAGTTGCCTAAAAATCCTCAAAAATTCTGGGAAATGCAGTTCGACGAGCTAATTCAAAAAACGTGACCAAGATTTTTGAAAAATTTGGTTTGTAAATGATTTTTTTTAATTTCTCGAAAATTATCATTTTTAATTTTCCCGATACTAGACAAATTGTTGGAATTTTCGAGAAAATGAGGCCGAAAATAACTTCTACGAGTTGATATCTACAAGAAAATGTCTTTCGGTAACTTTCGGAGAGTGTTCGACAAATCGTCAAAAATTCATATGGGAAATTTCAGATTTTTGAAAAGCTGCCTAAAAATGTTCACAAAATGCTTGGCAATACACTTCGATGGCTTATTCGAAAAACTTTAAGTTGTTGCTGGTTCAGGACCAAAATTTTCGAAAAATTTGGTTCATAAATGATTTTTTTCAATTATCGAGAATTGGGTTTTCTTTATTTTATCGATTTTGCCAAAATTGTTGGAATTTTCAGAGAAATGAAGCGGAAAATAACTTCTTCAACTGGATTACAAAAAAATGTCTTTCCATAATTTTCGAAAGGTGCTCGAAAATGGTCAAAAATTCATACTGTACATTTTAGATTTTTGAAAAATTGCTAAAAAAATTCTAAAAATACATAAAACAAATTTTTCAAATACATAACTCGAAAATTGTCATTTTTTTGCTTATCGATTTTGGAAAAATTGTTGGAATTTTCGAAAGAATGAAGCCAAAAATAACTTCTAAAAGTCTACATAAGAAAATTTCTTCGGGTAATTTTCGAAGGCTGCTTGAAAAACTGTCAAAAAATTAATAATAAAAATTTGATATTTTCGGAAAATTGTGTAAAAATCCTGAAAAAATTGTATGAGATACATTTAGATGCTCGGTTTGTTGCGGGAGATTCGTCGAGTTGTCCATACGTTGCCGTAAAAATTGCCCGTTGAATTGAAAAGCATTTCCATCGACGCCTCAAGCAACCACGACTTTTTTTCTTCCAGGGGCCCCGAATCCGTGCCGCCGTCCGGCCAGGTCCAGCGCCAGAGGACCACCTCCCGGTCGACGCCGACCAGCTGCAATAACAAAGGTAGGTAAATTTAACTCCCCGCTCGCTCCCAATAATTATAAATTATCCGAGCACTTGCGGCCCGATTCATCCGCCCATTATTTATATTTACCTTCGCGAAATTCCTAAACGAAATTACGTTGAGAAAACAAACTCGTCACTTGCCAGCGTGTAAAAAGCGAAAAATCGGGCCGTTTCGACTTTTAGGAGGCCGAACTCGAGAGCGCTACTAGTCTTCAAACGTAAACTCAATTACCATCTGTTTACAAGTATATATCGTAAAACGGTAAGGATTTTCGTGCTTTTTAACGCTTCTGTAAACAGTCGGGTTAAGTAGATGATACACATATACACAGAGGTTTGTGTTTATAATTTAGTGGAGCACATGGCCGACCATCGACTACATAAATTATACAACGAGTTTACATTCTTGGAACGGTGGAATAACATGAGAGGTGGCAGGACGGGGACGGGGAGGCGGCTGGTGGGGGATAAACGAATGCATTTGTTTTATTACGTTTGTTCTTGTTTTTTTCGGTTTGATTTTTGCTTGTCGAACTTAAGCTGAACTAAACTACCGGACAGATTGTTGTCAAACTTTGTGTGCATATTAGGAGTATTGTGTAGATGCCAAAACGCTAACCAAAGCTTGTCTGATCGCCCCCACCAACGATGATATGACCTCATCTCAAATTTTTACGATAGTAAATGTTATTTAAATTTTGTAAAATATACTACTCTACTTGTAGTTTATGAATCCGTTTTGAGTTTATCCCCTAGGCATCGAGAAGCTTCCGAATTTTGTTAATTTTTCAAAAAATCTGGATTTATTTAGCTTCAACCATTTTTCAATATTACAGTTTTTCATTTTTCCTTTTCTTTGATTTTTCATTTATTTAATATCACAATTTTTAGTTATTTCATTTTCTTTAATTGTTCAATTTCTCGGCTTCCAAATTTTTCAAATTTTCGTTTTCTCAATTTTATTCGTTTTTTCATTTCCTTTATTGTTTCAATGTTTCTTTCAAGTTTATAATTTTTCATTAACTCAATTCTTCGAATTTTTAGTATTTCATTTTTCAGTTCCTCAAAATTTCCCAATTTTGCAATTTTTAGATTTCCAGTTACCCGATTTTCCAATTTCTTTAATTTTCATATTTCGTTTTTTCGATTTCGCACTTTTTTGATTTTTAAGTTTCTCAATTATCAAGTTTTCACTTTATGCATTTTTGTTTTTTCATTTTTGATTTTTCAGTTTTATAATTTTGCAATTTTTCCATTTATTTATTCTAAAAGTGGAAAAATCGAGAAAATGAAAAGGTACAAAACTGAAATATCGAGCAATTGAAAAGTTGAAAAATGGAAAAATCGAAATGTAAAATTGGAAAATCGTGAAATCGGGAACTAAAAAAATGGAAAAATTGAAAAATCGAAGAGTCGATTTATCGAAAAATCGAAAAATTGAGTGTCGAAAAATCGAAAAATTGCAAAATTGGCAAATCAAAGTATTAAGAAGTTGAAAAGTTTAACTACTGAAAAAATTATATTAAATAATTGAAAAATCGAAAATTGAAAAATGGAAAATCTGGATAATTGAAAAATGGAGAAACTGAAATATAGAAAAATCAAGATTGAAAAAGTGCAAAACCGAAATATCAAAAAATTGGGAAATTGAAAAGTCAAAATATCGAGAAATTGAATGTCGAAAAATCGAGAAATTAAAAAATCCAAATAAAATATCGGAAAATTGGGAAATCTGGAAATAAACGAATCGAGAAGTTGAAAAATTAAAATACATATTGGAAAGTTAAATCGAAAAATAGAAGAATAGAAAAAGTGAAAAATCGTGACATTGAAAAGTCGCAAAACTGAAATATAAAAAAAAGAGAACTCAAAGAGAAGTCCAAAAATCAAAAATCCAGATTTTGAAACATAGAAAAATTTTTGGATATCCAGTTACCCGATTTTCCGATTTCTTTAATTTTCAATATTTGGATTTTGCAATACATATTTCGTTTTTGTCGATTTTTAAGTTACTCAGTTTTCATTTTCCGACTTTTCATTTTTTTTAATTTTACAATTTTGCAATTTTTCTTTTTTTTTATTAGAAAAGTTAAAACATTAAGCAAATGAAAAGTTCCAAAACTGAAACATCGAAAAATTGGGAAATAGAAAAGTTGAAAAATCGAAAAGTCGAAATGTCGAAAAATCGAAAAATGTGAAATTGAAAAATCTAAATGAAATATCGGAAAATCGAGAAATCCGAAAATGAAAATATTCAGCAAATCAAATCGAAAAATTGAAAAATCGAAAATCTGAATGATTGCAAAACTGAGAAACTGAAATATTGAAAAATCGATACTGAAAAATCGTAAAACTAAAATATTGAAAATTAAAAAATCGAAAAGTTGAAATATCGAGAAACTGAATCTCGAAAAATCAGAAAATCGAGAAATCGGGAAATGAAAAAAAGTCGATAAATTGAAAAACCGAATCGACAAATAGAAAAATAAAAAAATCGAGAAGTTGAAACATTATAAAACACATATTGGAAAATCAAATCGAAAAAGTGAAAAATCGAAAAATTGAAAAACCGAGAAACTGAAGAGTCACAAAACTGAAATATCGAAAAAATGAGAAATCGAAATGTCGAAAAATTGAGATGTTGAAAAATCTAAATGAAAAATCGGAAAATCGAGAAATTGAAAGAGTGGAAAATCGAAACCAAAAATTAAAAAAGCGAGGTTTGAAAATTCGAAAAATTGAACAATTTTTGGGTTTTCAGTTATCCGATTTTCCGATTTCATTTTCCATATTTCAATACATATTTCGTTTTTTCGCTTTTGCACTTCTTCGATTTTTAACTTGCTCAATTTCTGTTTTTCGGTTTTTGAATTTTTTTTCAATTTTTCAAAGTTTTTATTTTATACATTTTCGTTTTTTATCATTTTAATTTTTCAATTTTACAACTTTGCTAATTTTCCATTTGTTTTTTATTCGAAAGGTAGGAAAATTGAGAAAATGGAAAGTTGAAAAATCGAAAAAACGAAATGTCTTACTATTCTCAAATTTGAAAATCTTGAAATCAGGAAACAGAAATGTGGAAAAAATGAAAAATCGAAAAGTCGAAGAATCTACAATCGGAAAATTGAAAAATCAAAAAGCAAAAATAAGAGGAGAAAAATTGGAACAATGGAAAATCAAATCGAAAAAGTGAAAAATCGAAAATTGAAACATTGATAACTGGAATAATGGAAAAACTGAGAAACTGAAATATGAACCGAAAAATTGCAAAACTGAAATAATGAAGAAGTGAGAAATCGAAAAGTCGAAATATCGAGAAATTGAATGTCGAAAAATTGAGACATTAAAAAATCCAAATAGAATATCGGAAAATCGATAAATTTGGAAATAAAAAAATCGAGAAGTTGTGAAATTAAAACATATTGAAAAATAAAATCGTAGAAATTGAAAAATCTAGAAATTGAAAAGCCGCAAAACTGAAATATCGATTAACTGAATAGTAGAAAACTAGGAAAATCGAGATATTGAAAAATCTAAATGAAAAATCGGAAAATCGAAAAGTCGATAGAATAGAAAGAGTGGTAATTCGAATCGGCAAATTGAAAAATCGAGATTTTGAAAAATCGGAAAATTGAAGACTTTTGGATTTACAGTTATCCGATTTTTCGATTTCTTTAATTTTTAGTACCTATTTGAATTTTGCAATACATACTTCTTTTTTTTTTGATTTTGCATTTTTTCGATTTTTAAGTTACTCAATTTTTGTTTTTCGATTTTTGTTGAAATGTTGAAAAATCAAAAAATTAAAAATGGAAAAACTGAAGATCTGGAAAAATTGAAAACCGTAAAATTTCAGATCGAAAAATTGAATTTCTACATTAAAAAAATCAGAACATTGAAAAACCGAAGAATTGAAATAATAAAGAAAATAAAAACCAAAATGAAAAATTGCAAATCGAAAAATTAAGGACATGAAAAATTTAAAAATTAAAAATTAAAAAACCGGTGGAATTGCAAATCGAAAAATTGCAAAATCTAAAAATTGAAACATCTAAAAGTTGGAAAATCGTAAAACTGAAAAATTTTAAAATGAAAACTCAAAAAGAATCGCAAAAATTATAAAATGGAAACATCGAAAAATAAAAAAATTGTAAAAACAAAGACAATAAAACCCAAACAAAAAACTGCAATCCGAAAATTTGAAGAAAAGAAAAATAAAAGAAATGAAAAAATTAAAAATTGAAATAACGCAAATGGAGAAATTGAAATAACGAAAAACTGAAAAAATTAAAATTATAAAAACAAAAATTATAGTCTGGAAACATTGAAAAATTGAATAATGGAAAAAATGAAGAAAATAAAAAACTGGAACGAAACTTGAAAAATTAAAAACTGGAAACTCGGGCAACTCAAATCGAAAAATTGCAAAATGTAAAAAGCGGTTTGTAAATTCGAAGTTAACTTTTTGATTAATCATCATCTGAAAACAGATTTTATTCACTAATTGACAATTACATTTTAATTATATGTTAATCAAGGTTTGAAAAAACGGCCTTTCAACTAATTTTATAACTTCAAAAAATATACGTTCCTTCGGAAAACGAATACGAATATTGAGCGTGTTTGGAGCGGAATAGAGGAATATCGGAATTGGAGATGGAGCTTTTATTTGTTTACACAGGATAATTAACATTCACAACAAAATCCATAAAAAAAAACAAAATTAGAAACGCATTGATTTTCGCCTTAAAAACATCTTTACATAACTATTTCTCTTGTAGTGAAATTTTAGGTTTAAATAAATATCTATCTTATTAACTTTTTTACATAAATAATATCTATTTTTAACTAAAAGAAATCATTAATATATTAAAATAAAAAAAAAGTTTCATCAAAATCGCATCCGTTCCTGAGAATTAAAGTTATAATTTTTTATTTCCAGACGGCGACGACCTCACCGCCCCCGACCACCTCCAGCCTGCGTCGGAGGCGGCACCCCTCTTCGGCCAGAACCGCTATCAGCAAGCGCCGCCGCCCCCACAGACCTCCCTCCTCCAATCCAACATCCTCACCACCATCGGCCAGCCCTACTCGGGCGAGCTGTGCAATTACGGCCCTGTGTACCACCCCCACAACCTCCTCCACAACTACAACCCCGTCTACAGCAACGAGAAGGCCATGCGGAGTCCGAACTTCGGGCGGACGGTGTACGGCAACTACTCCGGCTTCTACGGGAACAACGCCAACTTCCGGAGTCCGGCCCTGCACCAGAACGGCTACGATTTCGGCCCCAGATAAGTCGTCGTCGCCATCTGTAACGAAGCCAAAGTGTGAACCAAATCATCATTATTGAAATGTAATTTTGTTATTTTATTGTACAAGTTATGTATTTTTGTCTTTATTATTTTTATTATTATTATTAAGGTGATAGAGTATTATTTTTATTTATATGTCGATTATTTAAGATGAATAAACTCGATTATATTTTCTGTGGGTGTTTTATTTATGAAAAACAGAAATGACAGTTTCCAGTGGTCACGTGTTGCTTCCTAATCGCTTTCTAATGTTTGTTTTTTTGCCGGTGCTTCCGTTCCACGGCCGGCTTGACCCAGACCCCACAGATCAGTTTCACGGTGCCACCCTGTATGAAAGCCATCAATCACGGTGACAAGTCGTCACACGCTCACTTTTAGGTGTCCCTTTTGCTAATTAATCATTAGTTTGGAAACATACGGTCCTCACTTTTGACAAGGCGAGGCGCATCAAAAACACGCACACACACAGCCAGACAGATTATAGATTGTGCTGTTTTAAACGATGCTTTTATTTTGTTTGGAATGTGTTCTGTTGTTTCGTGGTGTCAGTCGGTTGAGATTTATGGGATTTAAATGCGATTTTTGTCGCTTTTAGTTGGGGGTGGGTGGGTGTTGGGTGGAAATGGGGAATAAAGGGGACTTTGTGTGGGGAATGCAGTGTTTTATGGGTTCTAGTGGAAGTGGATGTTGACGAGATGGAAAATGAAAAGCTAAAACAATCTGGAAGCAAACGATAGCAACAAACTGTTATGATCTAATTGCAACTAATGGGCATTCACGAACAGTTTAGACCGCAGTAAGCTATGAAAAGTTAGTAACTTGGTTGGTAAAATATTTTGTAAACTCAAAAACCCGTGGTTTTGATTAATTTGATTTCCCCTTCTTCAAATTTCGGCCAATTTTTGACATTTTCGAAATATAACTAAATGCATTTTCTTTTAGATTTCAAGCTCTAGTACTCACTTCCGGCTTCGGTTCTTTGATAACCGCAGCCGTTTTTCCAGAATCCACCGTTGAAATATCGAAATTTTTAGAAATCATCAAAAATTCGCATTTCGTACCGATTTTTTTGAAAATGTTGCTCGTTGACCGTCAACAGGCTATATTTTTGGAATTAGCATGCCGAGATCTACGTCCATGATTTTTTTCACAATTTTTAGGCAAGTTTTTGAAAGTGAAATTTTTTCAATGGTCCCCCCTTCTTCAAATTTCGGCCAAATTTTCACATTTTCGAAACTTAACGAAGTACATTTTCTTGTACATTTCGAGCTATATAACTCACTTCCGGCCTCGGTTCTTTGATAACCGCAGCCGTTTTTCCAGAATCCACCGTTGAAATATCGAAATTTTTAGAAATCATCAAAAATTAGCATTTCGTACCGATTCTTTCGAAAATGTTGCTCCCTGACCGTCAATAGTATATATTTTTGGAATCAGCATGTCGAGATCTACGTCCATCATTTTTTTCACAATTTTTAGGCAAGTTTTTTAAAAGTGAAATTTTTTCAATGGTCCCCCCCTTCTTCAAATTTCGGCCAAATTTTCACATTTTCGAAACTTAACTAAATACATTTTCTTGTACATTTCGAGCTATAGAACTCGCTTCCGGCCTTGGTTCTTTGATAACCGCAGCCGTTTTTCCAGAATCCACCGTTGAAATATCGAAATTTTTAGAAATCATCAAAAATTCCCATTTCGGACCGATTCTTGAGAAAATGTTGCTCCGTGACCGTCAACAGGCTATATTTTTGGAATCAGCATGTCGAGTTCTACGTCCATGATTTTTTTCACAATTTTTAGACAAGTTTTTTAAAAGTGAAATTTTTTCAATGGTCCCCCCTTCTTCAAATTTCGGCCAAATTTTCAAATTTTCGAAACTTAACTAAATACATTTTCTTATACATTTCGAGCTATAGAACTCACTTCCGGCCTCGGTTCTTTGATAACCGCAGCTGTTTTTCCAGAATCCACCGTTGAAATATCAAAATTTTTATAAATCATCAAAAATTGAGGAAAAGTTGGTCCGTGACCGTCAACAGGCTATATTTTTGGAATCAGCATGCCGAGATCTACGTCCATGATTTTTTTCACAATTTTTAGACAAGTTTTTTAAAAGTGAAATTTTTTCTTCAAATTTCGGCCAAATTTTCACATTTTCGAAACTTAACTAAATACATTTTCTTGTACATTTCGAGCTATAGAACTCGCTTCCGGCTTCGGTTCTTTGATAACCGCAGCCGTTTTTCCAGAATCCACCGTTGAAATATCGAAATTTTTAGAAATCATCAAAAATTAGCATTTCGTACCGATTCTTTCGAAAATGTTGCTCCCTGACCGTCAACAGGCTATATTTTTGGAATCAGCATGCCGAGATCTACGTCCATGATTTTTTTCACAATTTTTAGGCAAGTTTTTTAAAAGTGAAATTTTTTCAATGGTCCCCCCTTCTTCAAATTTCGGCCAAATTTTCACATTTTCGAAACTTAACTAAATACATTTTCTTGTACATTTCGAGCTATAGAACTCGCTTCCGTCCTCGGTTCTTTGATAACCGCAGCCGTTTTTCCAGAATCCACCGTTGAAATATTGAAATTTTTAGAAATGATCAAAAATTAGCATTTCGTACCGATTCTTTCGAAAATGTTGCTCCCTGACCGTCAACAGTATATATTTTTGGAATCAGCATGTCGAAATCTACGTGCATGATTTTTTTCACAATTTTTAGGCAAGTTTTTTAAAAGTGAAATTTTTTCAATGGTCCCCCCTTCTTCAAATTTCGGTCAAAATTTGATAACCGCAGCCGTTATTCCAGAATCCACCGTTGAAATATCGAAATTTTTAGAAATCATCAAAAATTCGAATTTCGTACCGATTCTTGAGAAAATGTTGCTCCGTGACCGTCAACAGGCTATATTTTTGGAATCAGCATGCCGAGATCTACGTCCATGATTTTTTTCACAATTTTTAGGCAAGTTTTTTAAAATTGAAATTTTTTCAGTGGTCCCCCCTTCTTCAAATTTCGGCCAAATTTTCACATTTTCGAAACTTAACTAAATACATTTTCTTGTACATTTCGAGCTCTAGAACTCACTTCCGGCCTCGGTTCTTTGATAACCGCAGCCGTTTTTCCAGAATCCACCGTTGAAATATCGAAATTTTTAGAAATCATCAAAAATTCGCATTTCGTACCGATTCTTGATAAAATGTTGCTCCGTGACCGTCAACAGGCTATATTTTTGAAATCAGCATGTCGAGATCTACGTCCATGAGTTTTTTCACAATTTTTAGACAAGTTTTTTAAAAGTGAAATTTTTTCAATGGTCCCCACTTCTTCAAATTTCGGTCAAATTTTCACATTTTCGAAACTTAACCAAATACATTTTCTTGTACATTTCGAGCTATAGAACTCGCTTCCGGCCTCGGTTCTTTGATAACCGCAGCCGTTTTTCCAGAATCCACCGTTGAAATATCGAAATTTTTAGAAATCATCAAAAATTAGCATTTCGTACCGATTCTTTCGAAAATGTTGCTCCCTGACCGTCAACAGGCTATATTTTTGGAATCAGCATGTCGAGATCTACATCCATGATTTTTTTCACAATTTTTAGACAAGTTTTTTAAAAGTGAAATTTTTTCAATGGTCCCCCCTTCTTCAAATTTCGGTCAAATTTTCACATTTTCGAAACTTAACCAAATACATTTTCTTGTACATTTTGAGCTATAGAACTCGCTTCCGGCCTCGGTTCTTTGATAACCGCAGCCGTTTTTCCAGAATCCACCGTTGAAATATCGAAATTTTTAGAAATCATCAAAAATTCGCATTTCGTACCGATTCTTGATAAAATGTTGCTCCGTGACCGTCAACAGGCTATATTTTTGAAATCAGCATGTCGAGTTCTACGTCCATGAGTTTTTTCACAATTTTTAGACAAGTTTTTTAAAAGTGAAATTTTTTCAATGGTCCCCCCTTCTTCAAATTTCGGTCAAATTTTCACATTTTCGAAACTTAACCAAAAACATTTTCTTGTACATTTCGAGCTATAGAACTCGCTTCCGGCCTCGGTTCTTTGATAACCGCAGCCGTTTTTCCAGAATCCACCGTTGAAATATCGAAATTTTTAGAAATCATCAAAAATTAGCATTTCGTACCGATTCTTTCGAAAATGTTGCTCCCTGACCGTCAACAGGCTATATTTTTGGAATCAGCATGTCGAGATCTACGTCCATAATTTTTTTCACAATTTTTAGACAAGTTTTTTAAAAGTGAAATTTTTTCAATGGTCCCCCCTTCTTCAAATTTCGGCCAAATTTTCACATTTTCGAAACTTAACCAAATACATTTTCTTGTACATTTCGAGCTGTAGAACTCACTTCCGGCCTCGGTTCTTCGATAACCGCAGCCGTTTTTCCAGAATCCACCGTTGAAATATCGAAATTTTAGAAATCATAAAAAATTCTCATTTCGTACCGATTCTTGAGAAAATGTTGCTCCGTGACCGTCAACAGGCTATATTTTTGGAATTAGCATGTCGAGATCTACGTCCATGATTTTTTTCACAATTTTTAGACAAGTTTTTTAAAAGTGAAATTTTTCCAATGGTTAACATTTATTTATTTAACAGAGAAATTACAGAGTAGAGGAAAAAAAAAATCCTATGGGTACTCTATACAAATTAAACTAAATTTTAAAGTTAACTGTTGAAGGTAACAGAGTTGATTCCCTTTTTGAAAATGCTTGTAGTGGGTGCGGCGACTAGGGTAGGTTGTAAAGAATTCCACTCCTTGAAAACGCGATTGGGTAAAAAACATTGACGGCTCTTCGTCGAGTATGTCTGGTGTTTTAGTTGTCGAGGGTGGCCTCGTAACCTGTTGTCATTTTGTGGTTTGTAAATGTGCGAGAGGTCCACGCTGAACTTGGATGTTAGGATGTTGTAGGTGGTTATAAGATCGAGTTTTCTCAGTCTCGTTGTAATTGGTTCAAGACGCATTTGTGAGAGGCGTTCGGCATATGATGGTCTTCGAATTCCAAGACCAAGGCAGGTGGCTCTTCGTTGTGTTTGTTCTAATAGATTTCTGTCTCGACAAAGTATTGGGTACCATATAGCGCTGGCATATTCCAGGTGGGGTCTGATATACATGATGTAAAGTTTCCGAGTTGTTTCATACGACGGCTTTGAGAAAATTTTGTTACAGATATATATCGTTGAGTTAGCTTTCTTGCATATTTTATCAATGTGTTGTGTCCAAGTCAAACGGTCATTAATGATGACACCCAAATCGTTAACAGATTTTACAGAGCGCAAGAGTTTTCCATTGATGGAGTAAGTGTTAAGAGGGTTGTTTGGCCCGATGTGAAGAACGACGCATTTGTCTTCGTTTAGTGGTAGAAGCCAAGCTGAAGACCAAGTGGCTATTTTGTGCAGATCACTTTGGAGAGTGTCCCAGTTAGATGTTGGGTCTGCAAAAATTTTTGCGTCGTCAGCATAAAGGGCGCATTTTGAACTGATGCCAGCGACGAGATCGGATGTGTAAGCCAAGAAGAGAAGTGGCGCCAGGACGGATCCTTGTGGTACACCACTTAAAACACTTCTGGGATTGGAATACTCCTTGTCCACCCGGACTTTGAACGAACGGTTATTAAGAAACGATGAAATCCACGTTAAGAGGTCTCCACGGACGCCTTGGTGATGGAGTTTGTGCATCAATCGCTGATGAGGAACACGGTCAAACGCTCGGGAAAAGTCTAAGTAAATGACGTCTGTAGGCTTATGTTTGTCAAGTGAGTCAGACCACTCGTTTAAGCATGATAATAAGTTGGTGACGATTGAGCGGCCTTTAAGGAAGCCATGCTGAACGTTAGGAATGATTTCATTTTCAACAAGAAATTGAGATAATGAATCGACTATGATAGATTCCATAATTTTGGACACCACTGACACTAAGCTAATCGGCCTGTAGTTATCTGGAGAGAGCTTGTTGCCTTTTTTAAAAATAGGTGTGACGTAAGCACAACGCCAGACGTCTGGCACGATGGATGTTTTAAAAGAGTTTGTCATTATTATGGCCAGGGGTGAGCTTAGGGAGCTGATACAGTGTTTCAGTAGGTGCACATCAATGTTGTCAGGTCCAGGGGCAGAGTTGGACTTAAGATTTTTTATTTTTTGTCTTATTATCGATGGAGTGAAATTGATGTTACTTAGAAAGTTCTCACAACTGGGAGTAGAGAGTACTGCTGTCAGTGGATCGTTTGGCTCTGGTATGAAAGACTTGCAAAAACTCTCAGCTAATAACTCGGCTACTTCCAGGTTATTGTTGCACAGAGTTCCGTTGGGGTGTTGGATCAGAGGTACGCTGACCTTTGAGCACAGGGCATTCCGAACGTATTGGTGGAATTTCTTTTGGTTGTTGCTGAAAATTACTGACTGTTCATATGCCTTCTTAGCTTTCTGTAATTTGATAGATAGTTCGTTTGAGAAAAGCCTGTGAGCTACGTAGTCATTATTGCATTTTGTTCTCCGAAATTTTTTCCAAAGGGCTTTCTTTTTTGATAACTCTTTTATAAGGTTACGATTTATCCAAGGTTTATTTTTCGCTCGTTTGATAACCATCGTCTTAGTATATTTTGCTTTGAGTGATGTAATGATCGCTGTCAGGTAATTCCATTGCTCATTTGGATCTAAGTTCCGGAGACAGGAGTGCCAATCAATTTGATTAATATCGCTGTTGACTAAATTGTAGTTAATACGCTTAACCACCGTTGAATCAACGCGATTGGGGTGAGTCGAAACAAAAAATTGAATTTGGCTGCTTAACACTGCGTGGTCAGATATGCCAATTGGTGGTTCATGTTGAATATTTGACAAGAGCTGACGATCGTTTACAATAATCCAGTCTAGGAGTGAGGGGTTTGTGTTTTCTCTGAAGCGAGTTGGTTCATTGACAAGCTGTGTGAGGCCAAGGTCTATTAAGAAATTGTGATAAAGAGCTTCTGTACTGTTAGGATGATCGAGGGATACAATATGTTTGAAGTCTGGCAGATTGAAATCGCCAGTGACGATTACTTGAGAGTATTGGGTTATAAGCTCAGTCAAGACCGTAATGATATTATTGTCTGTGGTTGCGGGAGTGTCTGGTGGCCTGTAGATACATAATAATAAGAGACTGAAGGATTGTAAAGAGATGTGAAGAGCAAGGGTTTCCACTGAATTAATTTCAATGTCAATAGTTTTAATTTGGAAATTCGAAAAACAGTTTTTATTGAGGAAAATTGCGACACCTCCTCCTCGTGTGTGGACTCTATCGTTACGGTGTATGTTATAGTCGGGCGGACAAATCATTGAGTTGGGAATCGCGTTATGTAACCAGGTTTCTGTTATACAAAAAATGGAGGGTTTAGAGGTTTGCACGAAAAGAAAGAAGTCATTTAATTTTGCAGGAAGTGATGCAATATTGGTTGACATCAATGATAAATTAACGAAGTTGCCTAATTGATTCTGGGTGGGAGGTTTTTTGTGATTTTTGCGATACCGTGTATATATTTAATTGTCAGATTATCTTCAGTTAAAGATCTCTGGGCTAGTTCCGCTCGTAAATCTCGTAAATATTGTTGCTGGGTGGGTGTTTTGTCGTCTTGAATTTTGAGCTGTTCGAAACGTGATCCGCTTAGTTTGGTTTTATTTCGTAAAATGGATTTAGCCGTGAATGAGCTTGAAAATATGACTTTCGTCGGGCGAGTACGAGTAGCATTGAATTTGCCCAATCGAGTGACCGAAATTATCTGAATATCATCATCAGGTGGTAAAATTGTGGACGCGACATTTTTTACTGTATCGAGATCTGATTGCTTACGATGGTCACTATCACCTGTGGGTTCCGGTATTCCACGGATAATCACGTTGTTACTCCGGCGAATGCGTTCTACTGCTTCGGCGGTGGCTTCTTCGAATGTAGTTTGGTGAATGTCCGGTGGATGAGTACTTTTTAAGTTTTCGATATCTTTCCGAAGTTTTTTATTTTCAGTAATCAGTTCATCAATACATTTCTTCATGTCAGCGACCGTGGATGTCAGGGAGCTGATAGTGGCAACTAGGTTTTTCATGGCATTGGGAACATCGGTATCTGTAGGAATCTCAGAAGAACTGGTACAACAGCACTTTTTCTTCTCGGCACAGCTTCTGTGGGACCACAACTTGCAGTCCCCACAATAAATTCTTTTTCTGACCGCAGGGGCATTGCACACAAAGCACATCACTCGTTGCACGTCAACTTCGGCGTCGGCCATTTTTCTCTCTCCTGGTCCCCCCTTCTTCAAATTTCGGCCAAATTTTCACATTTTCGAAACTTAACTAAATACATTTTCTTGCACATTTCGAGCTATAGAACTCACTTCCGGCCTCGGTTCTTTGATAACCGCAGCCGTTTTTCCAGAATCCACCGTTGAAATATTGAAATTTTTAGAAATCTTCAAAAATTCGCATTTCGTACCGATTCTTTAGAGAATGTTGCTACGTGACCGTCAACAGGCTATATTTTTGGAATCAGGATGTCGAGATCTACGTCCATGATTTTTTTCACAATTTTTAGACAAGTTTTTTAAAAGTGAAATTTTTTCAATGGTCCCCCCTTCTTCAAATTTCGGCCAAATTTTCACATTTTCGAAACTTAACTAAATACATTTTCTTGTACATTTCGAGCTACAGAACTCCCTTCCGACCTCGGTTCTTTGATAACCGAAGTAGGGAAAAACAAATTAAATAAATATTTTTTATTGATAAACTTAGACACTATCACAATAAAGGTAAAACATCAGTTATTGGCGCTTACAATTTTATATACATAATTGAAGCAGAAATTATTAATAATTACAATAATGAGAAGTAAAAACTGAAATCCTTAACTTTTCACTGAAAATTTGTAAGCCACTAAGTGGTAGTAAGTCTCGCCAGGTTTTAAGATCAAGTTTGGAAAATTTTCCTGTAATAATCGTAAGTCAATAAATACAATCAGGAATTAGAACTTCATATTTGTTGACACTCCTAACTACTGTGCAAAAATTATTATTAAACTTACGTGGTTAGGCGCATCTGGCCAATTTTGTGTTTCCAGGCACAAAGCGCCGTGTTTATAATAATTCCCGTCTTTGCCTGTAAGAGTCTTCAATTTGCTTTTATCTCCTTTATAAGTGCTCGGATTTTCTGGGAAAAAATTAGCGGTGTAGAACTGCACTCCCGGTTGGTTGCTATGAACTTCCAACATTCTGGCACTTTCAGGATGATGAACTCTAAAATAACCTAAGTCTATATATTTTATTAGTTTAAAGGTTGTAGACGAAAGCTTAATTTTCTTATTCAAAATTATTTTTTCCCAAAATTTTGAATTTTTATTTTCTTGTCTTGACTCTTAAGTTTAAATATTCTGAATTTATAACTTTTATTTTTATTAGGTATTGATTTCTCTTTTGAAAGTCTTTTTGCTTAAATCTGGACGTTTTCGGTAAAATTTTAATCACTTCAATTATTATGCAGGGTTTCTATTAAATGATTATAGGGTCGCAGTAGGTCATGTAACGTGCCGCCTCTCAGATTTAACTGTACGGAGATCCGTACTAAGTGTCCAAGGACGCATGACAAAGATCACACATATGTATAACTGGTTGCCTAAATGTTACAGTTTTCCGTTATTTCAATAGTAACTGAATTACTTGTAATTGAATTACTTCCGACCGCATAGAAAAATAATGTTAATAGTAGCCATAAACTAAAAACACTATACCTAGCAACGAACGTCTTCTCTTGTCCAGATTCTTTCATAACGCAAAAATTGTGATCAAAACCGTCACTATTCGGAACTTTATTAATCAACTCTCCCAACACTTTTGGTGCTTGTAGATCAAACACAGTGCCGCCAACTGGTTGTAATGACCCTGGAAACACTCCTAGATTTAGTCTTTTTTATCTTTGAAAATACTTACCTGTAGGAATACAGTCTTTATCGACTGCAGTAATCCGATCTGCGTTGATGGAAACCACGTGTTTGTACAGTTCACTAGCTCCGGTGTTATGACCAGCCAGGTTAAAATAAGAGTGATTGGTTAAATTAACGTAAGTGGGTTTAGTAGTTGTAGCCTTAAATTCGACACGAAATTCACTAGTGTCTGTTAATTCAAAAGTGGTATGGACCACTAGATCGCCGGGGTAACCCTCTTCCATGTCTGGAGAGTGGTAGCTCATGACCACTTTGTTTCCATCGACGAAGTGCTCCCAAATAACCTTGGTGAGAAATACTAAACTTAACAAGGAAAAACCAGTGTAATTTTATCTAACCTTGTCAAAACCCACAAATCCTCCATGCAACTGATGCTTTCCTAAATTTTTGCTAACTTGGATAGTTTGGCCGAAGAGTTTGAACTGTCCATTGGCGATTCTGTTGGCAACTCGGCCAACAGTAGCACCGAAGTACGGATTTTCCGCATCCTGATATCCTGTAAAAGGAAATTATAGAATCGTCTATTGGTGAAAAGTACCCACCTGCCAAATTCTTAAATCCTGTAACTATGTCTTTAACAACGCCGCTTTTATCTGGAACTTTGATGAACGTCACAGTCGCCCCATAAGTGATTACTTGAACTGAAACTTTGTTGTCGTTTTCCCAAGTAAAGGACCTTACGGAAACAGATTTTCCGGTGTTTTTGTAAGTGTAGAGATCGAACTGGTCTTCTTTTAGCTTCACCATTTTGTTTATGTTGGTATGTAAGAGAGGAATTGAATGAAAATACTAAAATGTTTTAAGTTATTGATTGATTGATTGATTGATTGACATATAGATACAGTGTTGCTTGATACTCGGTTTGATAAGATTCGATATACACAGTTCGTCATTCCAGGACAATCATTGTAAACAACAATATCTGATAAAATTGATTCTAATAAAAATATAACCAACGGTATCATTGAAAAAAATCAGAACATGTCAACAAATCGATATACCAAAAATTGTTAAATTTAAAATATCGAAAAACTGAAAAATTGTAAAGTCGAAAGAAAAATTAAAAACCGAAAACTCGAGAAATCGAAAATCTAAAATGTAAAAAATTGCAAAAATTGAAAAATCGGAAAACTGAAAAATTCCAAAACTTAACTAGAAAAATTTGGAAAATCGAAAAACTGACAAATTGAAACATTAAAAAATTTGGAAATCCAAAAGCCGAAATGTCAAAAAGTCAAAAAATTGCGAAATCGAAACATCAAAAGTTTTAAAAATCGACAAATTGAAAAACCAAAAAATGTAAAACTGAGCAATCAAAAATACAAAATTTAAAAATTCGAAAAATTGAAAAATCGAAGTACTAAAAAACCCAGAAATCGAAAAACTGAAGCATTTATTGAGTGCAAAATGTTAAATCTGAAATATAGAAAAATGGAAAAATGAGAGAAAAATTGAAGAACCGAATAATTGAGAAATCCCAAAATTGAAACATCGAAAAACTGCGAAAATAAAAAACTGAAAAATCGAAAAATCGAAATATATAGAATTCGAAAATGGCAAAGTTCAAAAAATCCCAGAAATTAAAAAAATCAAGAAAATGAAACATTAAAAAATCGGAAAATCCAAAAGCCGAAATGTCAAAAAGTCAAAAAATTGTGAAATCGAAACATCAAAAGTTTTAAAAATCGACAAATTGAAAAACCAAAAAATGTAAAACTAAGCAATCAAAAATCCAAAATTTAAAAATTCGAAAAATTGAAAAATCCAAGTACTAAAAAACCGAGAAAACGAAAAATTGAACCATTTATTGAGTGCAAAATGTTAAAATTGAAATATAGAAAAATGGAAAAATGAGAGAAAAATTGAAGAACCGAATAATTGAGAAATCCCAAAACTGAAACATCGAAAAACTGCGAAAATCAGAAATTGAAAAATCGAAAGATTGAATTATGGAGAATTCGAAAATGACAAAGTTCAAAAAATCCCAGAAATTAAAAAAATCAAGAAAATGAAACATTAAAAAATCGGAAAATCCAAAAGCCGAAATGTCAAAAAGTCAAAAAATTGTGAAATCGAAACATCAAAAGTTTTAAAAATCGACAAATTGAAAAACCAAAAAATGTAAAACTGAGCAATCAAAAATCCAAAATTTAAAAATGCGAAAAATTGAAAAATCCAAGTACTAAAAAACCGAGAAAACGAAAAATTGAACCATTTATTGAGTGCAAAATGTTAAAACTGAAATATAGAAAAATGGAAAAATGAGAAAAAAATCGAAGAATCGAATAATTGAAAAATCCCAAAACTGAAACATCGAAAAACTGCGAAAATAAAAACTTGAAAAATTGAAAAATCGAAATATGGAGAATTCGAAAATGGTAAAGTTCAAAAACTCCCAAAAAATAAAAAAATCGAGAAAATGAAAAATTCCAAAACTGAATTGACAAAAAATTGGAAAATCGAAAAATCGAAACATCGAAAATTTGGAAAACAAAAAAGTCGAAAAATCTAAAAATCGAAAACGGAGATATTTAAAAATTGAAAAACTAAAAAATTTTAAATAAAAAAATCCATAAATCAAAAAATCGTGGAATTGAACAATCAAAAAATCGAAATATTGAAATCTTGACAAATTGAGAAATAAAAGAATTGAAACATCTAAAATTTGAAAAATCGAAAAATTTAAAACTGGAAAAATTGAAAAGTGAAAAATTTTAAAGATCGAAAAATTGAAAAATACAACAAAAAAAACTAAAATTTAAATTTTAACTGAGAAATTAAAATATCGAAAAAATGAAGAATCGAAAAATTAAAAATTCGAAAAATCGAAATACCAAAAAAAAATTTTAAAATTGAAAAATTTCAAAATTAAAAATCAAAAAATTGAAAGTTGAAAATCCGAAAAATGGAGCTCTCGAGAAATGAAAAATTCAATATTAACAAAAAAAAGACACAAAAATTGAAAAATTGAAAATTCGAAATAGTGAAAATATCGGAAAATTGAAAAAATTACCAATCAAAAACCTGAAACATCGTAATCTTGATGAATCGAGAAATACAAAAATTCAAAAATCGAAAAACTGAGAAATGAAAAAATTTAAAAAGCCAAACTGATCAAATCAAAATATCAAGAATTTTAAAAATCGAAAAGTGAAAAACTAAAAAATCTAAAACCGAGAAGTCGAAAAATCGAAAAAGTAAAAAATTGAAATATTGAAAAACCTCAAAATTGTAATATCGAAAGTTGAAAAATCAAGAAATAAAAAAGTTGAAAAATCGAGAAATTGAAAACCCAAAGTTTAAAAAATCACAAAAATTGAAAAATCGAGAGAATTAAAAATTTCAAAACTAAATTGTCGAATAATTGGGAAATCGAGAGATTGAAAAACTGAAACATTAAAATTAAAAAAAATCGAAAAATCTTGAAATTGAAGAATAAAAAAATCGAAACATCAAACTCTTGATTAATCGAGAAATAGAAAAATCGAAAAGTTGCAAAATCGAAAAACTGAAAAATGAAAAATTTTAAAGATTGAAAAATTGAAAAATAAAAATATCGGAAAACTGAAAAATCGAAAAATCAGGTAATCATAAAAAGGAAAAATCTAAAATTTAAAAACTGAAAAATTAAAATATCGAAAAATTGAAAATTCGAGAAATCGAAAATTTAAAAATAAAAAAATTGGAAAGTCGAAGAATAGCAAAACCAAGAAATCCAGATGTCGAAAATATAATGTTTAAAAAAAAAATCGCAAAATTTGAAAAACTGAAGAATCGATAAACTGAAAAATTGAGAAATTGTCCAAAACTAAACTGACGAAAAACTAAAAAATCAAAACATCGTATAACTCAAAAATCGAAAAGCCGAAAACTACGAAAATCGAAACATCGAAATATTCACATCGTGATGTAAGATCGAAAAATCAAGAAATGAAAAAGTCAAGAAGCCGAAAAATCGAAAAATTGAGAAGTCAAAAAATGGAAATCGAGAAATTAAACAATCAAAAATCCAAACAATAAAAAATTAAAAAAATTAAAATCTGAAACATTAAAAATCAAAATATCAAGACTTTTAAAAATCGAAAAAGTGGAAAAATTGAAAAATCGAAGAACTGAAAAATCAGTAAATCTAAAATTTTAAAATCTGGACAGTAAAATAATGAAAAATTGAAAAAAATTCGCAACATTAAAGTATCAAAAAATAAAAAATTGTAAAATTGAAAAGTAAAAATCGAAATATTGCAAAATTCCAAAGCTGAAATATCGAAAAATTGAAAAACGAGGAAAACATTGTAGAATCGAAAAATTGAACAATCCCAAAATAGAAATATGGAAAAAATCTAATAATTGAAAAATCGAGAAAATGAAAAGTTGAAAAATCGAAAAACCTAAAAATCGAGATCTCGAAAATCCAAAATTTAAAAAACACACAAATTGAAAAATCGAGAAAATTGAAAATTCCAAATGAATTGACGAGAAATTAGGAAATCAAAAAATTGAAAAATCCAAACATCGTAAATTTGGAAAATCAAAAACCGAAAAGTCGAAAAATAAAAAAAATAATAAAAAATCCAAAAATAAAAAAAATTGGAAAGTAGAAAAATCGAAAAACCGAGAGATCGATAAATCGAAAATCCAATATTTAAAAAAATCCTAAAAGTTGAACGACTGAAGAATCGAAAAACTGAAAAATTGATAAATCGAAACTCGATAAATTCAGAAATCGAAAAATTGATGAATCTAAAAATCAAAAAATTGTAAAAAATTATAACCGAGATGTTGAAAAATTGAAAAATTGACAAGTCAAAAAATTTAATATTTAAAAAAATCCAAAAATTAAAATGTCAAAAAATTGATGACTCGAAAAACTGAAAAATCCCGAAATTGAAATGTTGAAAAATTGGCAAGTGAAAAATTGAATATTCGAAATATCGAAAACTCGAGAAATAAAAAAATCAGAATTAAAATATCCAGATATCGAAATATCAAAATATTGAGAAATCGAAAAATTTTAAATTTTAAAATCTAAAAAAATTGATAAATCGAAATCTGGATAAATTCGGAAATCGAAAAATTGAAGAATCGAGAACTCGTAACATCAAAAGATTGAGAAATCGAAATGTGGAGAAAACTGAACAATCGAAAAATTGAAAAATCGAAAAACTAAAAAATCGAAAACTTTAAAAATGAAAAAATTTAAAAATTGAAAAACCTGAAAATCAAAAAATTGTAAAACCGTTAAATTTATAACCGAGAAGTCGAAAAATTGGAAAAGAGAATCCGAAGAATCTAAAATTTGAAAAATCAAAAAATTAAAATGTCGAAAAATTAATGAATAGAAAAATTGAAAAATCCCAAAACTGAAATGTTGAAAATTGAAAAATTGAATAGTCGAAAAATTGGAAAGTCGAGAAGGCGAAAAATTGAAAACCCGAGAAATCGAAAAATTAAAAAATTGGGACATCGAGAAATCGAAGTATCATAAAATCGAAAAATTAAAAATTTAAAATCTAAAAAATCGATAAAACGAAAAACCGAAAAATTGAAAAACAGAAAAAGCAAAAATTGAAAACAGTAAAATGTTAAACTGAGAACTCGAAAAATCGAAAGATCGAGTAAATGATGCAACGAAAAATTAAAAAAAAAAATCGAGCAATCGAAAAATGTAATATTTTTAATATCAATAAGACATTAAAATGTCTAAAAATTAATGAACCGAAAAATTGAAAAATCCCAAAAGTGAAATGTTGAAAAATTGGTAAACGAAAAATTGAATACTCGAAATATCGATCATCCGAGAAATCCAAATATAAAAATTGAAATCTCGAGATATCAAAACATCAAAAATTAAGAAATCGAAAACTGGAGAAAATTGAACACTTGAAAAATTGAAAAATCAAAGTCTCGATAAATGCAGAAAGCGAAAAATTGAAGAATCGAAAAATTTTTAAAAATGGAAAAATTTTAAAT